CATCTTCTTCATCTTCTTCGTCACCCCCGAGAGTGGCGGGATCCTGGTTATAGTCGATGCCTTCTTCCTCGTCGTCCGAGTTTTCTGGTCCTCCACGCATGTCTTGGAGCTCTAGTAATTCTGTTTGGCGGTTGAAGTCGTCGATGGAGAAGAAACCGTCATTTAGGCCGTGAACATCTTCTGTGTATTCTTCGGCCTCTTCATCTTCCTCCACTCCCTCATCCGTCTCCTCAGCGCCGGAACCAACGTCCATTTGGTCGTATTCGTCGCGGAATTGGACACCACCCTCATCTTCGTCGTCACTATCGCTGTCGCTGTCGGGCACTTCCTGGTCCAATTCTTCCTCAGGAACTTCTTCATACTCTAATGAATCTTCGGCTTCGCTTTCGGCCGAACTGTCACTGTTTTCCTCCTCTTCATCAAAGTGCGCTGCTTTTCGCTTTTTTCCGTTCACAACCGCTTCGTCATGGACGGGGCCAATGGCCTTTCTCTCACCTACCCCACTCTCAACAGCATCCACCACAATTTTAACCTGCTCCCACACCTGGTCCACGTCAAAGCCTTCCAGATAAATCTTCTCCAATACATCCGGCTTCTTCCCGCTCTGATTCTGCTTCTCCTTCCCCGCGAACACTGCCGCTAGCGGGTCAAGGTACTGCTTTGCCATGACGAGCGCAGCATTGTGTAGATTTGCTCCTGGCTGCAAAAACTCGTGCGGGCTCGCAGAGAGTGCTTGCAGCAGCAATGGGGAGGGACCGCCGCCGCCTCCGTTCATGGTGGATTTTCTGGTATTGTCGGCGGAAAGAGTTCTGGAGGAATCGGAAGCGAGAGAACCGGCCATGCGTAGAAGTGCTGAGGCACTTAAAAAGGTGGCTATTTTATAGAGAGGGGGGGGTTTGGTTGCAATTGCTTGTTTTCTCTTCGCGATGCAGTGCAGCTGCAAGAAAGGAAAAAAAAAATCGAAGTAAATCCGAGGGGTCTGGCGCTAGTATGCTTCTGGTAAGTGGGGAGTTGTACAGCCCTAACCCTGGTCACCTGAGTGACGTACAAGCAGAAAAGAAGATATCTGTGACGAAGGTGATGGCTCTCATCGCCTGTACGAGGTTACGAGAACTTAGTTCAGTCATAGATACTATTTTGAAAGCTGTTCAGTGGAAAGGCTTCTCTCCAAGTCCGTTTACCTACTACATGCATATATCAAATTCAACCCCCCGCAGAGTTACACATTAAGTGATGCTGTATGGTTTCTTTTCTTTGAATGGCCAACAAGCCCAATATAAGTATTTAGCAACGACCGTAGTCAATAAAGAGATTCTATGGGAATATGTGTACTGACGTTGGGTTTAAGTTAGGCATTCATAAATGGGTTAGGGTTCAATTCTATTCGTTAACTGAGTCAGCGCAGATCTTTGTCATCACATTGTGATTCACCCTCGCCTTCTTTTTTCTTTCTCTTCTTTCCCCTACCTGTTGTTTCAACTTCGACTTGATATCAAAAATCTGCTGTCATACCCAGCCTAATCACTTAGGTACCTTTATCTATCACATCCTTAGATCTTCCTGAGGTATTTTTTCCATCAAAACTTAGCGCTTATACCCTCTTCATCTTATCTCGACCCCTCACCAACACCCCACTACACCCCGCAATATGGAGGAAACGAACGGCGACAAGCTAGGAAACGACGTCTTTGACAATACAGACAAGCTTGGAAACGATCTTCCCGACGATGGGAACGACTCAGCTCCTGGATCTCCTGGACTAGATGCCCAATCGGACTCTGAACTTGACGAAGTCCCAAGCAAAGACCTCAAGTCAGCACTAAAAAACACTGGAAAGATCCAAGAGATTGTGGCACCTAGACCACCACTCCCCCCCCAACCCGACCCATCAACCCTTGATCTTTCTACTCTTTCCCCATTGTCTCCCGAAATCATTTCCCGGCAGGCAACAATAAATATTGGTACCATCGGGCATGTCGCTCACGGGAAAAGTACCGTTGTAAAGGCCATCTCCGGAGTTCAGACAGTCAGGTTTAAGAACGAGCTGGAGAGAAATATTACCATCAAACTTGGATACGCCAATGCCAAAGTATACAAGTGTAATAATGCAGATTGTCCTAGACCTGGTAATTACAGGAGTTTCAAAAGTGACAAGGAGGTTGACCCCGATTGTGAGAGAGAAGGATGTGGTGGAAAATACGAACTTCTACGACATGTTTCGTGAGCCTACCCTCCTTAGATTTTTTTTCTTTTTGAGACCTCTGACTGACTTTGAAACTAGCTTCGTCGACTGCCCAGGGCACGATATTCTTATGAGTACCATGTTGTCTGGCGCTGCTGTAATGGACGCCGCCCTTCTCCTCATTGCCGGAAATGAATCTTGCCCTCAGCCTCAGACATCAGAGCATTTGGCTGCGATTGAGATCATGAAGCTAAACCACATCATCATTCTTCAGAACAAGGTCGACTTGATGCGTGAGGCCTCTGCGGAGGAGCATTACCAGTCTATCCTGAAATTCATTCGTGGAACTGTCGCAGATGGCTCCCCTATCATTCCTATTTCTGCCCAACTGAAATACAACATCGATGCTATCAACGAGGCGCTTGTGTCGAAGATTCCTGTCCCTATCAGAGACTTCACCGCCACCCCCCACATGATTGTTATTCGATCTTTTGACGTCAACAAACCTGGTGCTGAGATTGAGGACCTGAAGGGAGGTGTTGCCGGTGGATCAATCTTGACTGGTGTATTAAAGTTGGGAGACGAGATTGAAATCAGGCCTGGAATCGTTACTAGGACCGACGAGGGCATCAAGTGCAAGCCCATTTTCTCCAGGATTGTTTCGCTCTTTGCTGAGAATAACGACTTGAAGTTCGCTGTCCCTGGCGGTCTTATTGGTATAATCCCTACGAAATGCATGGTTATATAACCACTAACCCAGTGAACAGGTGTTGGAACCCGTGTCGACCCCACCCTTTGCCGTGCTGATCGTCTTGTTGGCTTCGTTCTCGGTCTCAAAGGACGATTGCCTTCAATCTATTGCGACCTTGAGGTTAACTACTTCTTGCTTCGCCGTCTCCTCGGTGTCAAGACTGCCGATGGCAAACAAGCCAAGGTTGCCAAGCTTACCAAGAACGAAGTCCTCATGGTCAATATTGGTTCAACCGCTACTGGAGCTAAAGTCATTGCTGTTAAAGCTGATGTTGCCAAACTCCAGCTGACATCCCCAGCGTGTACCCAAGATGGAGAAAAGATCGCGCTCTCCAGAAGAATTGAGAAGCACTGGAGATTGATTGGATGGGCAACTATTGTCAGGAGTGGAACTTCCCTAGATCCAGTCGAGGATTAGGAAGCGTTTTCTCATGAGTGCTTTTTCTATTGTTTCGGGTTGGGGCAAGGGTTACATGGGGAGTTACCTTCCTACTCAGTTTTTCTTTACTCTGTAAAACCGGAGTTCTTTTCTTCGTGCTTCTATTTTTTTCTTTCCTTCTCGGCTTGGAGGTGGCCCCTTGTCATAATCTTGATATGGTATGAGGAACGAATTGGAATGTCAAAACAAAAGTTGGGAGTCGCCAGGTGGGTTGTGCTCAGTGAACATAGTTCGTTTTTTGTAAGAGGAATAGAAAATATACAAAAGTTTCTAGGAGTCCCCTACGGTACAATGCTTTTGGTGTAAACAGGATAAGCTATCCCCCTGGGGAGGATAAACATGGGTCGAAACTTCCGCTTTGGGACGCAAAAGATAAGTAACGGCGAAATCAGGATATGTTCTGCCATTTGAGGACATTTCCTGCCCAAAATGGTCTAGTTGATGTTCAAAATTATATATCCTGTCTAGTAGGATAAAGCCAGATTATAATATTGAATTTCATCGTGAGGTTTCTCCTCCCCACCGAATTATCTCTAAATCTATCAACCAGCATCCAATTCCATCAACACTATCTTCACATCATCTCCTTCAGTGATGGGCTTGTAACAGTTAGGAAATACATTTGTTTAAAGAATAACATGCACATGAGTGTGGCGAAAGCGGACATGGGCGAGCTATATCACGCCCATACCTGCCTCCATGACATGATACATCGAAAGTGGTGATGATATGTTGATGATATTGATGACGATACAGGGTACTTAGTAGGCTTGGGGTGATAGGTGTTCGGGACTTAGCGGTTTTTAACACCCTACTGTGTCACGCAGGTGGCCTAGTGCTGTCACGTAGGTGTGCCGTCCCCGCCTGCCGTCACACAGCTGCTCCTTCCCCGCCGCCCTTGCGGCCTCCTCCTGCCGCCTCCTACCCAATTAGTTTTGGTTTATCCCAGTCGTTTACTCAGTTTCCCTGCTCAGCGAGATCCTACTGACCGAGACTTGGGGTCCTCTACCACGCAGCCAAGAAATATTTGTATGTCAATCTCGATCTCGCTGAGGGAAACGGAGTACCTACTTTATTTACATTCATGGGTTAAACTCGAATGTCTATGTATGTACATGCAGCTAGTCCTAGCCGGCCAACGTTGCTTCCATACTTGTATACAGAGCTCACCTCGAAAGTTGTTAAACGTCGGAAATAGACCTGGACGCAGAAGAAAGGCGCATCATCGGTCATAGTTTATCACTCGAAATTGTGGTATTAACCCTCTAAACTCGCTCTGAACTGTAGGATAAGATTAGAATCAAACAAAAAGAATTCCAGCTATTTATGATAGGTGTATTGTGGTACCCAGCCCGAATTACAATAGATGTGGCCTAACACAATAGGTCAAAGCAGCACGCATTTTGGAGTTTCGGTCTCAGGTATGCTCAGCTGGACTGTTTTCATTTTTTGATTACGAAATCTTACTGCGCACTCGCCTTTGTGCTACCGCACTCAGTTCTCTGAGCCTTGATGATGATAACGGGCAAAACTGCTTAAGCTGTGTGTTCAAAAACATCAGAGTCACTCCAAACTACATTACCACTTCTGCTGATTGTTTTTTTCCACGCTTTCCGGGATCGTCTAACTATGCCCAAACTCGTTTTCCGCGTTACGGGTATCCCACTCTGGGCTACCGCAAGCGACATCGAAGAAATACTCCTGTTGGGGGAAGAGGTTAAAATACAGCGCATGACAATCACTCCTTCTTGTTACGGGGATGATACCCAAACGGCTATCGTCCAATTCGAACCAAGCGCTCCGAAATATTTAGAGGAAGTCGTTTCTGGTTCGTTACAGGACCGCCAGATATCGATGTGTGGCTCGGACATAAACATCGACAAGAATTTCTACGGCTTTACTCAGCTTTACCGCATAGAGGATGATGCAAAGATTACAGCAGAGTAAATTTCCATCTAGCATTCGGTCGGGTTATGCTTAGTATATGTGTGCTGATATATACCCCTAGCATTGTGGCGGTAACAGGGCTCGCAGGTCATGCATTTGGATCTTGGAGAGGGAAGGGCGATTTCAGCAGGATGTGGCTTCAAGATTTCTTCTCGGAAGATCTTCCAAGCTGTAGGACAATGATATATGGTCATAACTCGGCACTTTTTAATAATGGAATACACCAAATAAAAGACTACAACCTGGGATTTATAAGGGAACTCACGAGAGTGAGGTCATCAATTTTGAGTGGAGTAAGTAAATACCTTTCTTTATCCGCATGCAGTTATCCCCAAGATGCCTATAAACGCAATCAATAGCATGTCAGAATTTGCCGGAGATTAAGCTCTTTTCATCAAACTTCTGAGATCTTTAACAATTATCTGTTATCAACACCGAGCGTTCCTCTGAGATCTAATATACATGTAGCTATATCAGATCTCAAAAGGCCCTTAGGTGTTACTTACATTGTAGGTGTCTATCTTGCTTATAATCTATGTTATGCCGTCTTCTAGGGGAAAGTAAGACCAATAATTCTTATTGGCCATAGCTTCGGTGGTATCATAATTACCCAGGTACTGTTCAAAATTTCGTAGCCGTCCGGATCGTATTGCAACTCCATATGCGATATTATATGTACATGTACAAGTACATGTACTTATGTATCACACTGGCAAAATGCATAAATGCTAACCATTCAATGTGGACATGGAAAAGTCTCTTGTGAAATGCAAGGAGCTCTCTGGCAGTGATGCTGCTGCAGATGATATATTCAAGTCGGCATTTGCCACAGCCTTCTTCGGCACTCCGCATCGCGGGCTTTTGGTTGATGACATCCTTAGCATGACTAATAAGATGGAAGAGGAGAGAATAGACCTCGTTCGGTCGATTGGTGGAGGGGATAACTTGCGTGATGAACTAGAGAATTTTATCAGTCTTGCACCGGGGCTAAAGATTCTAAGCTTCTACGAACAAATGAAAGGGAAGAGACTGAAAAAGGATGTATGTACAAGATTACTTCCCCTTTATATACATGTATCCCTGTATTCGTACGCACGTGCGAAAGTCTAACACAGCCTAGGAGAACGGGTCTTATTCTAGGATCGGCGAATACTTTTTGCCAGTCGGCCGCGAGTCTGCATTACTCAATCTGAGCCCGGATATCGAGACTAGTATACCCGTTGACGCCGACCATACGAATCTGGTGAAGTTTAATACGAAGGGAGACGCGGCCTACGGAGCCATTATATCCCAGCTCAAGTTTTTTCTGGAGCGACTCCGTAAGAAAGAGAGTATGTTAATATACTTTTCATTCACGATAACGAGAGTTTTAATTTTGACTTAATCCTAGTGGAAAATGATAATAAGCTTCATAAGCGAGGCACGCACGCTTTAGGTTAATTATTAAACCGATAAGACGTAATGTAGAAATTGAGACTAATCTTACATATATCCCAAACAGTCAGCGATATCCTGCCAGAGCCTAACGCCTTGGAGGTACCAAAACAGTCCACTAGACACCGCACAATACCTCACTCTGTCAGTCCACAATTTACGGGGAGAGATGATATTCTCGAGCGTCTGAAAAACTATTTTTTTCCGTCAAATCCACCCGATTTAGACCAACGGCTTGTCTTCGTTTTGCACGGGATGGGGGGTTCCGGGAAAACTCAAATCAGTTTAGAGTTCATTCGAAAATATGGCAGCAGGTATTCCTCTCACTATACGCGCAGCTGGCATTTCATCAAGACGTATATTTATGTACCGGTCTAAACTTCTGTATCGACAGATTCTGGGGAATTTTCTGGATAGACGCAAGCACGCCAGAAATGACTGAGCAAAGCTTTTGCGATATCGCACGAGAATTTCGTCTTGGTGAATGTACATCAAAGGCTGCGAAACTATATTTAGCCAACTGCAAAAAGGAAAACCAGTGGCTACTCGTTATTGACAACGCGGATGACCCGGATATCGATCTTGGGGGATTTTTTCCTCGCGGTGATATGGGCAATATTTTAGTCACAACGAGAAACCCCGAATGTAGATCATTCTGCTCAGAAAACGGCTACTTCGAAGTGGATGCGATGGACCCCGAAGATGCCGTCAAGCTATTGCTTAAGATTACAAAACTAGATGGACTATCGTGCGATTCCAAGAAACCACTGGCAACTAAGATCGTACAAGCGCTGGGGTGCTTGGCTCTTGCGATAACTCATGCTGGAGCGTTTATTGCAAATGGCTCTACAATGGATACATATCTAGAGCATCTTCGAGAAAACCCCAAAGAGTTGTTCAATATCCGCTTCGCTCAAGGCTCTGAAATCTACAAAAGAAGAACTGTTTTTACAACGTGGGAATTGTCGTTCAATTCCTTGAAGGATCCGTCCTCATCACACATCTTACAGATCTTTGCATTCTTCCACTATGATAGAATTCCCAAAGACATATTCAGGCATGCATCTAAAAGTCGCCGGACAGAAGAGCTGCCGCAATCATTGTCTAGGCTTCTAACACAGAGACCTGGTGGCACTTGGAATTCTCTAAATTTCGAGGCGTCAATTCGCAATCTCCTCTCTTTCTCTCTCATAAAGCAAGACACATATAGAGAGAAGGTTATCTACTCTATCCATCCTCTCGTGCATACCTGGTGCCGTGAAAGGCTGGAGTATAGCGATCAGGCTAGTTTTAGAAAGCTAGCTAGTACTCTTCTTGAAAGCTCGGTAGATGTCAATCGAGATGAAATATCTCTCATACAGCTGTTACCCCACATTGAATCATGCAAAAGGATCTTCCCTGGTTTAGCCTTGTTTATACAGCCTAAGCATTTTTGGAGTGTATATGATGCTGCAGGAAAATGGAAAGAAGCAGAAGAAATTGCCATAGAAACAGTGAATAATAACAAAGCGCTGGGCGAGGAGCACCCAGGCACCCTGGCATCGATGAGCAACCTTGCATTGACGTATTGGTACCAGGGAAAGTGGAAAGAGGCAGAGGCCCTTCAGGTTGTGGAGCTGGAGGTCAGTAAGAGAGTGCTGGGCGAGGAGCACCCAGACACCCTGAGATCGATGAGCAACCTTGCATCGACGTATATGAACCAGGGAAAGTGGAAGGAGGCAGAGGCCCTTCAGGTTGTGGTGCTGGAGGCCAGTAAGAGAGTGCTGGGCGAGGAGCACCCAGGCACCTTGACATCGATGAGCAACCTTGCATCGACGTATTGGGACCAGGGAAAGTGGAAGGAGGCAGAGGCCCTTCAGGTTGTGGAGCTGGAGGCCAGTAAGAGAGTGCTGGGCGAGGAGCACCCAGGCACCTTGACATCGATGAGCAACCTTGCATCGACGTATTGGGACCAGGGAAAGTGGAAGGAGGCAGAGGCCCTTCAGGTTGTGGAGCTGGAGGCCAGTAAGAGAGTGCTGGGCGAGGAGCACCCAGGCACCTTGACATCGATGGGCAACCTTGCATCGACGTATTGGGACCAGGGAAAGTGGAAGGAGGCAGAGGCCCTTCAGGTTGTGGTGCTGGAGGCCAGTAAGAGAGTGCTGGGCGAGGAGCACCCAGGCACCTTGACATCGATGAGCAACCTTGCATCGACGTATTGGGACCAGGGAAAGTGGAAGGAGGCAGAGGCCCTTCAGGTTGTGGAGCTGGAGGCCAGTAAGAGAGTGCTGGGCGAGGAGCACCCAGGCACCTTGACATCGATGAGCAACCTTGCATCGACGTATTGGGACCAGGGAAAGTGGAAGGAGGCAGAGGCCCTTCAGGTTGTGGAGCTGGAGGCCAGTAAGAGAGTGCTGGGCGAGGAGCACCCAGGCACCTTGACATCGATGGGCAACCTTGCATCGACGTATTGGGACCAGGGAAAGTGGAAGGAGGCAGAGGCCCTTCAGGTTGTGGAGCTGGAGGCCAGTAAGAGAGTGCTGGGCGAGGAGCACCCAGGCACCTTGACATCGATGGGCAACCTTGCATCGACGTATTGGGACCAGGGAAAGTGGAAGGAGGCAGAGGCCCTTCAGGTTGTGGAGCTGGAGGCCAGTAAGAGAGTGCTGGGCGAGGAGCACCCAGGCACCTTGACATCGATGGGCAACCTTGCATTGACGTATAAGAACCAGGGAAAGTGGAAGGAGGCAGAGGCCCTTCAGGTTGTGGAGCTGGAGGCCAGTAAGAGAGTGCTGGGCGAGGAGCACCCAGGTACCTTGACATCGATGGGCAACCTTGCATCGACGTATAAGAACCAGGGAAAGTGGAAGGAGGCAGAGGCCCTTCAGGTTGTGGAGCTGGAGGCCAGTAAGAGAGTGCTGGGCGAGGAGCACCCAGGCACCTTGACATCGATGGGCAACCTTGCATCGACGTATTGGGACCAGGGAAAGTGGAAGGAGGCAGAGGCCCTTCAGGTTGTGGCGCTGGAGGCCAGTAAGAGAGTGCTGGGCGAGGAGCACCCAGGCACCTTGACATCGATGGGCAACCTTGCATCGACGTATTGGGACCAGGGAAAGTGGAAGGAGGCAGAGGCCCTTCAGGTTGTGGAGCTGGAGGCCAGTAAGAGAGTGCTGGGCGAGGAGCACCCAGGCACCTTGACATCGATGGGCAACCTTGCATTGACGTATAAGAACCAGGGAAAGTGGAAGGAGGCAGAGGCCCTTCAGGTTGTGGAGCTGGAGGCCAGTAAGAGAGTGCTGGGCGAGGAGCACCCAGGCACCTTGACATCGATGGGCAACCTTGCATCGACGTATAAGAACCAGGGAAAGTGGAAGGAGGCAGAGGCCCTTCAGGTTGTGGAGCTGGAGGTCAGTAAGAGAGTGCTGGGCGAGGAGCACCCAGGCACCTTGACATCGATGGGCAACCTTGCATCGACGTATTGGGACCAGGGAAAGTGGAAGGAGGCAGAGGCCCTTCAGGTTGTGGCGCTGGAGGCCAGTAAGAGAGTGCTGGGCGAGGAGCACCCAGGCACCTTGACATCGATGGGCAACCTTGCATCGACGTATTGGGACCAGGGAAAGTGGAAGGAGGCAGAGGCCCTTCAGGTTGTGGCGCTGGAGGCCAGTAAGAGAGTGCTGGGCGAGGAGCACCCAGGCACCTTGACATCGATGGGCAACCTTGCATTGACGTATAAGGACCAGGGAAAGTGGAAGGAGGCAGAGGCCCTTCAGGTTGTGGAGCTGGAGGTCAGTAAGAGAGTGCTGGGCGAGGAGCACCCAGGCACCTTGACATCGATGGGCAACCTTGCATTGACGTATAGGGACCAGGGAAAGTGGAAGGAGGCAGAGGCCCTTCAGGTTGTGGCGCTGGAGGTCAGAAAGAGAGTGCTGGGCGAGGAGCACCCAGGCACCTTGACATCGATGGGCAACCTTGCATCGACGTATTGGGACCAGGGAAAGTGGAAGGAGGCAGAGGCCCTTCAGGTTGTGGCGCTGGAGGCCAGTAAGAGAGTGCTGGGCGAGGAGCACCTCTTGAAATAGTACGCTCAGCACATTTCATAGTATTGGAGGATTCTCATTTGTCATCATGAGTCATGGGTTCTGACTCATTCTTTCTCTGGTATTTATTAGTCATGTCTTTCTATTACTTATACGGTTATGATTTACTATGTTTTGTGTTACCTTTCTTTAGTATAAATATGGGGCTTTTTCCCCTCTAGTTAGCAGGAATAACACGCTCAATTACTACACTTCTCTACATACATTTTCTCTAGCACCCAGACACATTACAGGCGGAGAGAAATCTTGTAACTTTTCGTGAAGATATAATGCGCAAAAAGGCAGCAGAAGCTGAGTTGCAGCGTGGAAAGCGAAAGCACGGAGATATTTCGGTATGAGAGTATGCAGGACTCGGTTTCAAAGTCGCAAGAAGATTATCGTAGGAGGATAACTGGAGACATGATTCTACATTTCTCATATACATGCATGATTCATCTCGATCTCATTCTCATATTCTCATTTGGCTGTGACTCGTGAGTGATAGCGTGTGATGCGATACCGCTATAGCTAGAGTGGATGCGCACACCATAGATAAACGATCGAGGAAAATACGCCTAGGTTTCGAATTTCATCGAAGGTGGTTATTTTATGATACTTGTAAGTCTGTAGTTAAAACCTAGGGAGGAAAAGGATGGATACAGGGGGCCTATACAACCACAAGATCTGTAGATAAACCTGAGGTTCGTGGCCGTCGTATTTAATCTGGCTCACCATTCATCACAACCACTTCCGTGGACGCAGATGTGTTAATTACTAAGAGCCCGTGAAATGCCTAGCCCGGGGCATCCGAGAAAATTTACGATGTGACAACACCGAGCCCAATTAGTCGACAGACCGTAGGAGTTTTATCTTAGTACTTTCATAACTATCATCGATCGTTTAAAAAAAGCCTGTAGTATGCTGGTATAATTCATTGGCTTTCAGGTGTAAGGGGGAGCGGGGGTTCGTATACAGGTAGGTGACAGTCCTACTCTTAAATTCAAAACCTTTGGTAATATGATATGGTCACCCGTATCCATGTAGTTATATATAGATTTGCCCTTACAACATCCGGTGTATCTGTATTCTTGTTTTTAATTAAGCAATGGTGGAAGAGGTAGTATTGATTGATCGATCCAGTGTAGCTAACGAAATTATTTCTTAAAGTAGATATAAGTAAGAGCCATAGGTGGGAGAACCCTACAGTATCCATACAACTAGCACTATAATATTAATCAACCTTCAAACTTCAAAACATTATACATACCACAAATAACTATCATCCCGCCTCACGCCCTCCTAGCAACAAGAACACACCCACGCACAACCCCCGACCTCCCCCACCACCCCACCACCCTCCCAACAGCCCCAAACCCACCCCACCCCTTCAAAACACCCACATCCCTCACCATCAGCCCCCGCGCACTTATAAAGCGCTCCAGCCCCGGAAACACATCCGCCGACACATCACACACCGCAATGTTCTCCCGCGCATACCCTGCCGCGGCCAGCATATCGCGGTACTCCTCCTCCGTGAGCCTGTTCGCGTACAGTATCTGCGTCACCGCGCACACCAGCCTCAGCAGAACCCTCTGCAGCGCAGTGGCCGACCCCGACCGCAGCAGGTCGAACGCCAGGAGCGACGACTCGAGCTCGCGCGAGACGTGCTGCAGCGCCGGCGCCCGCGACGGCTAGAAATGGTACAGGTCCACCGGGCTGCTGGGCTTGGAGGCGTCCGTGAGATGTAGCTCTATGATGCTTAGGCTGTCCTTCTTGTTGTTGTCTGCGCCCAGATATGGGTGGGCTTCAATGTGTGCCTGTATGCGTGCTTGGGCGTGGAGGAACTGTGAGCGATTTATGGTGAGGCCGTCGTACTTGCAGAGGGTCAGGCCGGCACGGGAGAGCTCGGTGCAGAGCGATATGGTCTGGTCGCCGCAGTCAAAGCCGAGGTCCCAGAGCCTAATTGGGCGTGAGGACGGTGTTTTGAGGATTTCAGACTTCTCGAGAAGAAGCTGGAGCAGGTTGTTGCAGGCGGTGGGGAAATCGGATGTGTTCTACGCAGTAGGGTTGTATGAGTATATATATTTGGATGAATTTGTAACTAGGGCTATTCTCTTTTGGTGGAAATACCTTCCAGTAGGCCATGTTCAACCACATTGTTTCTGGCGGTAGTCTCATATTAAGAAGCGCATGCTCCAGACCGTATATATCTCTACGCGGAGGAGGCCCATAATTGAATAACCTAAAAAAGCCACCCAGGAGCCGTGGAGCAAGAACGAACGTCAGAAGGCCAAGGACATAGGCAACAATTGAAGTATTAGAGAACATGGCGGTCCTGGCGTGGAACGAACAGACCTCTCAGCACTCACGACGACGTCAACCAACCTCAAGCGCCAAGGCAAATCCCTGGATCGTGTCTCAGGTCCCTGAAACACAGCCCATCACTCGTCTGGTGGCACCCACCAAACCCGCGGCTGTGGCGGCTGTGGCGGCTGTGGCGGCACACTACGAGCCACACAATTCATGACTCAGCACGCCGAAACCTCACCATCCAAAGAATCTTTCTCGGGAGTCCCCGCGGCGCACATCCCATCCCACCCGCCTCCCCCCCCCCCCCCCCCACCAAACACAAGCACGCGAAACCCCATCCTCCGGGCTCCGGAGAAAGAAGCAGGCCTCCTACACACCGGAAAAGCAAGTGTTGAAACAGTCTGCAGCAGCGACAATGGCGACGAAGCCCGTCCACCCAGTGGTCGCCAATCTGGGCAGGAATCTGTTCATCTATAACAACATCCAGACCAAGCAGGTCGTCTACTCTTTAACGAGATCGTTAAAGGTGCTCCGCCCACCCATCCACCCGTTCACCCCTTTCTCCGAGCCCCTGCCCGTACATTGCGCCTACTAGTGCTCCTCCTCCTCCTCCTCCTCCTCCCACCATTACTATCACAACCTACCACTACCACTACCACCACCGCTATAGTTACTACTACTACATATCATGCTAACGCCCCGCAGAACAACAAAATGCTCAAGCAGATCACCTTCGTCGGCAAAAAGTCCGTCCCCGCCGCGCTCCGCAAAGACGTATGGACGCCTCTCCTCTCCGTCGAGTTCCCGTTCCCGGCGGTGGGGCTCAAGACATTCAAGAAGCTGCGCGAGTTCAAGAAGCTGCACGAGACGGCCTACCCCAAGGAGCTCGTGGCCGGCAAGACAAAGAAGGAGAAGAAGAAGATCCTCATGGACCAGAAGGCCAACTCCATCGCCGACCTGGCCGCCTCGCTCGAGTGGGAGATCGCAAAGGCGAACCGGGAGCACGACGAGATGGCGGGCAAGAAGGACCAGCCGCCGAGGATCGCCAGGGACGAGGTCGTCGTCAGGTGGCATGATATCTATGATGCGCAGTATGCGAGGGATTGGCCGGAGCTGGTGGTGCACCAGGTGGCGGAGAGGGCGAGGCATACGGCGCCGAAGGTTGTGGAGGAGCAGGTGGTGCAGGAGGGGAAGAGGGAGGTGGAGGTTTTGGCGGCATAGGGGTTGGCGCGGCTGTGGTGAGGTGAGGAGGGTGGTGGCGTGTGGCTTTTGGTTGCACGGGGTGTGTTCTGATGTTCGTGCGGATAGCGCGCTTTCATATAGAATTCATGTACAAATATTAGGGACATGTCCTGAGCGGACGCGCAAACGTATTGTGCATACTCCACATTGGTTCTTTAGTTTCTCTGGCTCACATAAGGTTCCATATGATGCTATATTTCATATAAGCTATCTTTATTTTGAGCTACACACTAAGCATGTATATACATGTAGTCAAGGCTCAATAAGTCCCAAGCATCTCAGCATGAGCCTAGAGTATGCTAGTAAACATATCCAGCAAACCAATTGAGTTACTCCACCCATTCCCCTAACCCCCTCGCCGTCAGCATTACCGCCCACCACTCGGGGACCAAAACCGAAAAGCAACTCACCATTCTCCTTATGCCACTCCTCCAACGACAGAGTATTATAGTCCTCATAAACCTGCTTCTTACCCTCCGGCCACCGCGCCTACGCCCCACCACCGTCAGCACCACCCCCACAACCCTCCTAACAAAAAAAAGGCTAAAACTCACATATCCAGGCTTACTGTTATTCTTGATACACACTATCTCCACCGGCTCCTTCAACGGCGTATCAATCGCCGGCGCAAACGGGTGCACCAGCTCCGGCCTCCACCACACTGATCAGCAACCACCCCTTCACCTCCACCCCAACTAGAAAACTCACCAGCTACTATCCCACACCCACAGCATCGTCGAGCACTTTGAGCAGAAGCTGCGCTCACTATTCGCCAATTTCTCCTCCGGCGTGTCGCGGTTCAGCACCGCCTTATACTTACTATAAAAACAGTGAGCAGGTTATCTCGCAGCTGCTGCACAACTGGTTTTTGTTACCTAATGACATCAGCCCCCTGCGAGATCTTGAGCGTGTCGAACCAGCCGCCGAGGTTGACGGAGCCCGAGTAGCCGCCCGTCTTGCGGCAGATGGAGCAGGCGCAGAGCTGGTAGGGGACGGGGGTGCTGCTGGCGAGCGAGAAGCGGACGGCGCCGCAGTGGCAGGAGCCGTGGAGCGTGCTGCGGGTGTTAGTGGGTATGGATGGGAGGGAGGGGGAAGAGGGGGGGGGGGTGTACACTGGCATTGTTATATATGGGGGAGGTTTCGATATAGTAATTATAGGGTTGTAGTTTATTGTAGCTTGGGCCCTGGAATTGGTACCTATACACTATTGCTGATATATATATATATATAGCTCGAGACAAGCTCGGTGGTAAGGTGTGGGGTAGGTACTTTATCGCCGATAAGGGAGGGTGCGCGTGTGATGTCATTGGCTGTGGGTGATCACGTGCGGTGCTGCTTCTGGATGTGGAGTTGACGGGCGGATTTATGGACGAGTGTTTGGGTTTGTCAGGATTACAATTGCCCTTGTTGATCATTGACATGGGGCCCGGCCGAGGCATTGCAATTGTTACTTGACATGGGTGGAGGATCATGGGTAGGCCGGCGAGTCACGGTGTATCACTCGGGGTGGAATGGCATACTGAGAGTCTGATCGATACTTTGGGGGAGTCTACTGAAGAGACAAGAGTATGTGTAGTGTTTTATGGGTTTGGCCAGCTGAGTGCGCTTTGGGCTCCTATACCATTATGAGTATTACGCATCAATTACAACCACATCTCAAGACCAAAACGCGATCACAAACTGTCTTCATGAAAAGCCACGAAACCATATATACACGGTCCGGCCCGTATATCTACTGCCCCAACCCTCCTCCACCACTAGACCCTGGATCTGCAACACCATCTACAAACCCAAGCCCTACAGGCCCTACAATCAACCACTTCATACCCATCCACAGCCACAATAAACACACCACAAAAAGAAAATGTGCTCCTGGATCCGCTTCATCTACGAATGCCGCTGCATCGGGCAGTACATGGCGACACGGTACTGCCAGCGCGGGCCCTGCCCCACGGGCATGGGCGAGGTGGTGCTGCTCATCATACACCGCTTTGTGTGCGGCCCGTGCGGCGATCTGAGGATGCAGGTGGCGAGGAGCGAGGCGGCGAAGAAGAAGTAAGCCTGAGGAATGTAGTGGTGGGGCGGATTCTTGCTGTGAGAGGATGGGTTATGGAGGGCTTTTGATTCGGTGGATGCGGTTTTTATTTATTATTGGGGTTATATTGGCCAGTTGGGGGCATTGTTGTTATTGCGAATGGCCGGTGTGGTCGGGTGGGAGGGTTGGGGGGATAGGCTAGGTAGTAATAAATATGGGGATTGGTTGTACAAGACGTTCGTTAGGGCCTGCATGTTTGGATGGAGCGTGTTGGTTTTGGTATCGTGGTATTTTCGGTTGCGGGTTTCACCTCCAAGGACAACTAAAATACTACGCACAATCCTATTTGATTGAACGGTATTTGTGTCCATCCAATGGATCGAACAGGCCCGTAATTTATATTTCTCTTTACTGTTTATTATTGTTCTACTGCTCTCTTCATGAACAATCACTATCGATTCGATCCCACAGGCCAGCAGGCACCGTGTAGAAGCCTTTGTTTGTACACAAGTCCCACACCTGATAATTATATTCGTTCTCTAAACCTTTCATTACATTTACTTTCTTATACCTACGCTGTGAGTGAGGACACATGATGGGGTTGTAAGCATGAGCTATCACTCGAGTCTGCCAAGACCTGATTGATATTCTGTGAGGTTCTACAATTTTCAGGTGGATCGGGAGTTTCACAAGAGTCTGTTTTAACGCCCGGGCCAGAGCTACAATCAGGCACGCGGCCTGGGCGCCCGATGTTCCCCCCACCCAAACACCGAACCAGAAGGCATTTCTCACGAGCAATTGTCTTGTGACGGACGCTCATCCCCATTTCGCTTCACGCCACGCAAAGCCTGACATTTCCAAACCCTAGCAAGCAAAGTCGTATTTTGTACTGTACACAAGGTAATATTAAGATCTAGCAAACATCAGAACCTCTCATCCGCGCACACAAAAAGAGGAGCGCAAAGCACAAACCATTCAAAACCTCTAAAAGAGAAAAAAGAGTCGCTATCGTTCCCCACCTTCCCGCAGCCACACTACCCCCTCGGCGCCAGCCCCGGCACACCCGCATACCGCTCCTCCCTCTCCGTCTTAAAAAACAGCTGCAAAAAGAACTCCTTACTATCCGCATCAAAATGCGTCCAGAACCTGCCGGGACTGCGATCCACCTCCCTCGCCTGCAACTTAAAGCTGACCGTCTCATACGGCTCCGCCGCCACCAGCAAATACTGAAAATTCTTATCCGCGGGCACCTCCACGCGCTGCTCAAACGCCGACATAAACCTGTACCTTGGCTTGATCTCCGTGCCGATCTCTGGGTACTGCAGCTGGAAGAGCAGGCCCAGCTGGCGCGTCACGGGGTCCCGCAGCTTGGTGATCTTGTAGCCCGGCCGCCCGATCTTGATGAGGTTCTTGCGCGGCGCGATGAGCTGCTGCCCGATCATGCCCTGCGGGAGGCCGGTGATGGGGTCGAGGTTGCGGCCCTCTTTGGCTTCGCGCGCGGCTCGACGGGCCAGGTTGGTTTGGTGCTTGCGGCCTTGGGTGTGGGCGAGGTAGGAGCCGTCGTTTTGGTGCACGGTGAGGCAGAGGCGGCATTCGAAGGAGCCGACGTGGTTCTTGAAGCTACGCGTGGGTGTTAGGAGCGGAGGGGGCGTGTGGGGGGAGTGGAGGGGAGGGAGGGCTTACAAGTAGGGGTCTTTGTCGAGGTCGATGGTCTCGAGGGCGAGCTTGCGGAGGCGCTCGCGGCGGTCCTGGTTGGAGGCGGAGTGCGAGGCGACACCACCGCCGCCGAAGCGGGAGCCGACACGGCCTTCGTATGCCATTGTGTATAGGAGTAGTGGTTTGGTAGTGGTTTGGTAGTGGTAGTGGGAAGGTTCTTGCTGTTGGAGTGTGCGCGGGACTTAGTCGTGGAAGGTAGAGAGTTGAGAACCGGGTGTGTGATAGTTGTTGTCCCAGCTGCAAAATGTCCGGCTGTTAGCATCCTCGCGCGCCGTCCGGGTAACCCTCGCTGCCCTTAACCCCTGCAACGCCGGCTGCCAAGACTCACTTGCCAAGCAACACAGCAACGGCTTGATGGTGGGGACTCTGCATGATGGAGGAGTAAGTGCTTGTAGTTGGAGAGCTCACTCAGTCAGCACCTCAACCACCATCAACCCCATCAACCACCAACAACCCCCCCCCCCCCCCCCATCATCAAACACCCATACCCCATCAAGAAAATAGATATCCAGAATGCCCGGCTTCGACTTCTCAAACCACACCCGTAATGCCGCCCTCCATGCGAGAGGGATGCCGCTGCCCAAAGCTACGTCCACGGGTACGACCATTGTGGGGTGCATATACGATGGAGGGGTTGTCATAGCTGCTGGTTCGAATACCCCCTCTTGATTCGGATAGCGATGGAGATGGAGATGGAAGTGGAGCTCGGTGCTGATGGATGTGCGGCGGAACAGATACGAGAGCTACCAGTGGCCCGATTGTGGCCGATAAGAACTGCGAGAAGTTGCACTACATCGCACCGCAGATATGGTGTGCCGGTTCGTCTCTTCCCTCTTCAAACTATACAATAATATAAAGCTAACATTCCCCAGGAGCCGGAACCGCCGCAGAGTACGCTCTCCCCCCACCCCCCCCCCCCCCCCCCCGTAACCACCCAAACTAATCCCCCGCAGCACCGAATTCACCACCTCCCTCATCTCCTCCTCCCTCGAACTACACTCCCTCAGCACCGGCCGCAAGCCCCGCGTCGTCACCTGCATGACGCTCCTCAAGCAGCACCTGTTCCGCCACCAGGGCCACATCGGCGCATACCTCGTCGTGGCCGGCGTCGACCCCACCGGCGTGCACCTATTCACCGTGCATGCCCACGGGTCCACGGATAAGCTGCCGTATGTCACCATGGGCTCAGGGTCCCTGGCGGCGATGGCAATCTTTGAGACGGCTTGGAAGAAGAATTTGACGAGGGAGGAGGCCGTCGAGCTGTGTAGTCAGGCGATTCAGGCGGGTATCTTTAATGATTTGGGGTCTGGGAGTAATGTGGATGTGTGTGTGATTACGGAGGAGAAGGTAAGCAATACTCCCCCTCCCCCCCCCCCCCCCCTTTTCTTTTCTTTGGGTTTGGCTGGTGGTGGAATGTGTGGGTGGGATGTGTGGGGACTAACGTGGGTGGTAGGCGACACTCATGCGCAACTACCTCACCCCCAACGAACGTGTGCCGAAGGAGCAGTCGTACAAGTTTGAGCGCGGCACCACGGCGTATCTGAAGGAGGTCGTCATCGAGAAGAAGGATCTGAAGAAGTATGTCACGATTGTGGATCTGGCGGCGTCTGGGGCGGCCGCGGATAGCATGGAGATTGATGCTTAGGGTTCTTTGTGTGGCTGCTGCAATTAAGCTCTCCTGTAGTAGGGTGAATTGAAAAATTAGCAATTGATATCGTGGCTTCTGGTTTTATATTTAGGATGTGGTGTGAGACTTGGTAAGACTTGGTGATACTTGGATGCAATAATTGTGGAAGGCCTTCCACGGAAGGGGGGGGGGCTTCGGCCCCCGTCCTCCTCCTCCTATCAGTAAAGTCGAGTTCCAATACATATTAGACTCCACAGTACCGCCCGGAACTCTTACATACAAGTAGCTACACCATCGTAACCTACCCATAAGACCCACGAACCCAACCAATCCCTCCCTCACCGCAATAGCCATACCCCCAAATAACTAAATAACCGCACCCAAACAACTAAGCAAAGCCCCCCCACTACTAATCTCACGACTACAACTCCATAACACATCCATCTCTTCTTCCGCTTCCGGTAATGTCAATGATCGAAAAGACATCATTTTGTGAATACCTACTTAGTACCAAGAGGTAAGACAATAAACATAGCTGCAGGAGGTCTTGCAAAACTGTACCCGTCCATTGATTGGTTTACATTAGTGAGTGGGTTGTGCTGGGAGGTGGGATGTGACGGTGGGATGTGACGGGCGTTGGGGGTACTGGGGGTAGGTGCGAGGTAGATACATGTAGTGTGGTTTTAGGTGGGGGTTGTTCATATGACTTTGGTATCGAGAGGGGGGGGGGGGGGGGGGGTAAAGAATTGGGTGGATGATATCTTAAATGTTTAGTACTTCTCGGAGGTGAATGAGGAGGGGCCGGTGGAGCATTGACTCTGCATACTCACGCTTTGGTATTTGTATAAGCAGACGCAAGAGTATATCTAGGCCTGGTAGGAAGCCGTACAGCCTAATTGGTTAAGATTGGCCACCTCTAATACCACAAGTTGATTAGTAGTGTTGAATGAATGTGCACCTTATATAGCCCGCGCGGCGAAGATATTCAGGCATGATATCTTCGATCACGGATTTTGGATGGCTTGAGTGGCTAGCTAGCCTGGAAGAGTTAGTTGTTGTCGGTTTCTTCTACTAACTGCGGTCCCCCTGAACGGTGATATAATCGACTCCTGTTGAAGAGTTCAAGTATTGGCCAGATGGAACAATTATAGGAAAACGAAGGGTGCCGGGGGGACTTGGGACCTCTTCTCTGACGTCGGCCCGGGTCGCATATTTAGAGTTCGCGCTAAAGCATCTAACGTATACCCCCAAAGCCTCAAAGCCATCAAAAAGACCATGGTAAGCACCATGGGTTGGATAGCCCAGCAGTATTTGGGCCATTGTCTCTTTACCCGCTGTGTCTTGAGTGCGCGCGTTCAACCCATACCCGGACCGAGGAATAAAGATTACCAGCCCGAGACCCCGCCGCAGGGGATGAGGGTTGGGAACTTTTTCTTCTTTTATTTCCCTTTGGAAGATCCCGAGATGATTATGTTCGCTGGTTAAAATCGTGGCAATACAGACATGACGGGACTGTATGTATCACAAGTCTTCTACTCCGCTAATCTCTTTTCTATCGTGAGGATATCACCGTTAATTAATTACATTAGTCCGCATGTATAATTTTCGTCATCAACTATCACTCGAGTGCTTACCTGATAACACACATCTAGCGCCGATTGGTTGGAGTTGATGCGAGTGATCATCTATGATCAAATCTAGGCTTTTCTTTTATCTAGTTCCTTTTTGCAAGTGTAATGTGGCCCTCGAAACACCGCAAACAAATCGCCATACGCGACAAAATCCCCAAATTAACCTTTGTGAACACGCGTGTGCTTCGGTCTTGTGGTGGTTCGTGTATGGCGTGGGTGGTTGCAACCAAAAAGGATAAAAAGAGAGCGAATTCGAACACGAGTACAATCCCACCCAGTTACCCCCGATGGCTGCTACTCATTTTCCACAACAAAAGACTTACGTGCCCTCCGATATGGGCACTGCTTTGGCGAGATGGTATATATATACATTGTGATACCGGGGGGGTTTCGAACGATGGCCCCATGTTGAATGACCTCTACTAGGAGTGGTATACGAGCAGCTTTAGACTGACTCGTTCCCACTAGGCCATCGGGACCCCCATACCTCCAGTATTGCTTTTAGCGCATTTGACCTGGAGTCTGGTTTATTTGATGGCTTGGCGGCACTTGGCGCGAAATGACACCCAGCACATGAGCGCATCTAACTCAATCGAACCCAGGTCCTCGCCGTCATGCTTTTTTCCGCATAAGCGTATTACCACTACGGGAATGAAGCTGAAGAAAATAAGTTCTGGGGGAGACCGTAACGATGGCTTTTCTCTCTAGATATCTTCACTAGAATATATCTGGGGTGCTAAGTGTCGATGGGCAATATGAAACCTTTGGGAAAACAAGACAAGACTTTCCCAAGTCTCGTATCGTCCTCCGTTGGAGCTTACATCTATCATATCCTACAAGGTGATGAGATATTGGCGGTCCTTCGATGCTAGAGATATATTGTTATTCTAGTGTTCGTGATCATGGATTCTCACTCGGATATACCGTTCCTTCTTTGGAGCAAATATATGTATTCTATTGAGGCAAGCCTAGCCTTGCACTAGAATACAAAGGATTCTTATATCTAGAGCTTAGTAGATTCTAGACGAGTAAGGTATTTGATATCTAAGCAAGAAGCCATTATTCCGGTAGTTGTTCTCAATATCTGGAAGATGATCCTGTAACTCTTATTAATAGAATAACGTCTTTATTCGATAGTTTTCTATTATGTTGGTGTGTATAAAACTCGTTTATACGGGATGTTCGATGGTGGTGGGGGTGTGGTCGATTTTGTATCATATGCGCGTTCATAAAGTTCGATTGCGTAAAAGTACCATTAAGGGCAATTGTAAGAGCTCAACCTTCTTCTGAAGGTAATATATATGTAACTACATGTACATATCAGTTCAGATATCTTTATTGCCATAACTGTAAGGTTGCATGCAATTAATGAATTAAACAAAAAGAAAAAAAGTTCAGATATCTTTGATATTCATCACTGGATAGGAGGCCATGTCTATGTGGAATAATGAGAATCAATAGATTGCGCAAAAGGTACAGGGGGCGCGCAACTAGGACATACAAGGCTATTTTCGACCTAAAAACATGCAGGGTGTTTGTGCCAGATTGCAAAGGGTTCCCGTTTCAATGATCAATTAGGCTACAGTCCTCTGCCCTCGACCTCTGACAACATAGTAGTGACGCCCTTGATGGACGATACTTTTGATTGAGCAAGTTTTTTGCTGCCTGATATTTCTTTTCATCTTTATATAACAATTAATGAAGTAATCAATCAATCAATCAATCTTCATCTTTATAATGAGATGGGGATGTCTATTCCTGGTTTATCCACTATTCTCCCCATCCCTGAGTCCGTGATCTCCTTTTCCATCAGTGTAATGAGTTAGGGATCATGGGGGAGCTGTATATTAATGTTTCTCCCAGTAAGCTTCTATGCAGGAGCTACATACATCGCTACTGGAGATGATTTATAGATCACGACGCAACAATAAAGTCTCAAACACTGGGAAAAGTCTACGCATAAACAACGATATCTATTAAAACAACTGTGCCATGCATCCCGGGAATGGTACCGCAAAAAAACCTGTAGATGTGTCGATATGACTCCGCCCAAGCTATCCGGGACCCATTTTAGTGTTTCTCAACGCACACGAAAACAATTTACACAAATACACACCTTGGCAGCAATAAAAGAAAAAGGGATAAGAGGCTAGGTAAAATGCAAGGTAAAAGGGGGCAATAAAATAATGATTTTTCGATGATTACCATCACGCCTGTCTACGATATCTATCTTGGTCCCAGCTTCTCGAGCGCACGCGTCCCCTGCTCCTCCCACTCCGCCTTTGAGATCCACATGGCTTCCTGCTCTGCCATAATGTTTGCGAGCACAGCTCCACCAAGGAAGACCATGTGGCGTCTTCGCGGGGGGTCTTCGATACGGACTTTGAATTTCTGATAAAATTGAAAGTGATCAGTAATTAATCCACCCAATACTAGAACTAGGAAACTCACGTTCAATCTGGTTGGGTCGCCGTTGAGTACCCTGGTAAGCCATAGCTGCTTCAGCTCCTTCTCCAGTCTGCTTGGCAGACCGGGGTACATGCTAGAACCACCCGAAAGCACGATAGCCTTGTACAAAGAGGTCCTGACATCGACATCGGCAGTTTGAATGGTGTTGAACAGCATCTCTGCGATTCCGGGCTGCTCACAGTCGACAAGGTGAGGCTGGAACATACATTCCGGCGCTTCGAAACGTTCACTGCCAACGCGGATCACACGACCGTCAGGGAGTGTATAGTTCTCAACAAGGACTGTAGTTTCCTCGGCAAGCTTGTTGTCAAGCTCAAGGTCGTAACTGACGTAGCAGAGCTTCTCCTTCATCTGGCGCACAGTCTCAAAATCAGCTGTGCGGTTGAAGGCATAACCGCGGCGAAGTAGTAAACTAATGAGCTGGCGGGTGACGTCACGACCCGCAACGTTAAGTCGTGCTGTAAGATGGTTGAGAACGACACTCTCGTAGACAGGGACGATATGGGTTACACCGTCTCCAGAATCGACAACGACACCAGAGCTAAGACCTATAGATCAAGCTGTTATTTGGAGCTCAGGGCCAAGTAAACACGGGGAGCTACCGCGTACCTTGAGCATACAGAGCAAGGACAGCCTGGATGGCAACATATACACCACCAAAATTGTATCGTTCAAACATGACCTCACACATCTTCTCCCTGTTGGCGAGAGGGTTCATCGGGGGCTCGGTAAGAAGGATTTTGCGACCAGTGGGGTCGATCTGGAGCTTCTCGGCGAACGTGTAGTCCCAGACGTGCAGCATGTCATCCCATCGTTTGATGATACCGTTATCCATCTATGATGGAGTTAGTAACTTGGCCGAGGTGTACTGCAGTTCAAGTATGGAGCTCACCGGATACGTGATCTGCAGCATTGACCTCGCAGCAGCAGCTTCATCTCCACACATGATGTCTTTCACCACCTACACGCCAGTATCTAGGTCAATTATATGTCCACGTGCTTTCAATTCCTTCCCTCGTGCCTCCCTTGCACTGCCAAGAATAAGACTCAATGGGGGATGTATCCGTACTATGTCTCCCTGACGTTCCTCCGCTCGCAGAATCGGACGTCCTACAATGGATGGGTACTGATGCTCGGGAAAGTTCTGACCGGCATATCCGACCTTGAGGCTTTAAGAATTGGTATTCTGCGTCAGTCTGGAGCTCTTGCCAAAAAACAGGGAGCTTCCGGAAAACCTACAAACCAGTTCCACCATCAAGAACTACCCCAAAAGAGAGTTCCAAGTTAGCCGGCAAAAACGTATACCATGGAGGTTGAAGATAGGGGAAGTGTACCGATAGGTGCTTCTGACATATTTGAAAATTAACGAAGATTATAGGGGATATATTGGTGGCTGTTGTTGACAGGTGAGCTGACGTTGTAATGAGCGGGGGAGAGCCTCTCCACGAACTAACGGGGCGTTGCCGGTGGTACAGCCACTAATGAGGCTCAAGTCTAGTGATGACGGGTACGCTGTTGGCGGGAAGACGCGGGAACCCCCTCAACCCCAGACTAAACCAGACCCCACCAACCATCAGAGCTTAGGTCGAGAAGTTACACAGGGAGACCCATAACTTCAACTTACGAAGCCATGGACATCATTTCGTTCGTATCAAACCTCCGCCAGGAGGCTCTCCTGCTGGGCGACTACAATGCCGTTCGAGGAATGTGCTCACGTCGGCTAGCAACTCTCCGGAAACGCCTTGGGCGTGCAAACAAGAAAAGGTTCGCGCAGCAGCCTCCATTGACTGCTGAAGATGTCGGAAATGATCATACGTATATTATCCAAGTTATATTTACATGTTTTTGAAGTTTATACTGAGCTATCGTGAGAATTCTAGGCACATCCATTTACTATTGTATTCCTCTGAAAGGGCATACTCCCACGCAATGCACTTGAAATCACTACTCGCCGACGATGCCTCTACAGCTACCCCAGCAATGCGCGCCCACTCTGTTTCTCGCCTCCATAAGGCCTATACCCATGCAACAGCATTGTGCACCCTCCTCTCAGACCCCGTCTCAAAAGCCACAGAGAAGGACGTACTAGAGGCACATGCCTATGCTGCTTCTCTGCGTGGTTCAGAAGCTTTCGAAAAATCCCAGTGGGAAGCTTCGATAGTAGCCTTTTCTGAAGCTAGGATCATCTACTCTGTACTACTCAACAGCAACAAGAACGAGCTATATAGAGACCAGCTGACCAGCACCATCGACCCAAGCATAAGGTATTCCGCTTACCAGCTACAGCTTCCAAGGAACATGGATGTTGCAACGATCTCCCGAAAGTATTTCCCGCGCGAACAAGCTGAGAAGGTGGTAGCTGTAATTGAAGCATTGGACCCCAGCATCTTCTCTGAGTCTGATGAGGATACGCCAATGGCCGGGACTGCGGGCTCTGTGTCGTCAGTGACTTGGCGCTCTCATACTGCGCCGGTGGATAATGCGGAAATATCAGTCGCTTTGGCAGGTGCACAAGCTGTGGAAAATGCGTATTACGCTAAAACACCTGGAGAGGCAGCTTCTACTGAGGCATTTGATGATGTTTTGGCTGCGTGGCAGGAAGCTGTTGACGCTACGAAGAAAGCGATTGATGATCTGCAGGCAGAAAATGTCAAAATGGAAGATCAGAAGATGCAGAACCTGCAGCTGACATCGACTGTTGTCAACTACTCTTTGATCTGCTGGAGGGTTGCGAGGAATCGTGTCATGATACAGGGAATCGCGCAGGGTGGAAAGAAGGGGAAAAAGGGTGAACCTGAAATTAGAGTTAAGAAGCTTGGACACTTGAAAGAGGAGGTAGCTCTGTACGATGCTATCTTACAGGTAGGATTCGATAACCCCCAGCCTGAAGCGTTAAACTCACAGCACCTTCTAGAGTCTTGAACAAGTCTACGATCTTCCAGGTGTCGCTCGTGATGAAGAATTCACGAAAGAGCTTGACAGCAAAAAGGCATATTTCTCAGCCTCCAAATGTGCAATAATCGCACAATCGCACGCCCTCCTCTCCAACCGTAGAAATGCACTGGCCCTCTTTAACCGTGCCCTCTCCTATGTCTCCACGCCCCATGTTTCCTCTGCTTCTATCCCCTCCCACAAAGGGCTCGAGATTGATTCAGAAACTGCTTCGGAAATACGCACACATCTCAAGGGCGAAGTTTCGCGATTCCAAGCACTAGTAGAGATGGACAATATTGCCGCGAAAACAGCCACGAAAGGGGGTAACAGCGGGGTTGTATTGGAAAGGCTAGACAAGTACCCTGAGGGTAAAGACTTTGATTTTGAAAATGGCATTGTGCAATGGCCACCAAAGGTTTCACCGGTCCCGGTAAAGCCAGTGTTCTTGGATGTTGCGTGGAACTTTATCGAGTACCCGGGTGATGGCGGACCAAGGGCTGTTGTAGAAACTAAGGAAAAGGAGAGCAAGGCAGAGACGAAGAAGGGTGGCTTCTTGGGGAGCTTGTGGGGAAGGTAGTTTGTGCAGCAATTCGGACATCTGGGGCTGTAACATACAAAAGCATCTTAGTAAAATTTATGTAGTTCACGGCCGATCATTGACCTTATTCGGGTTGGTATTTTGCTCTTTTATTTATTGAATATGATATTGGGAGGCTTTATCTTGAAACGATCGTATATGTGTATCTCAGTGGTTAATTTCATGCCATTTTAACTATATGATGCTGGATGATAGGAAAAATACGGTAGTAATAGATACCGGTGCATGAGTCTCAGCTGCAGGTATCAGTTAACCGCCAAGTCAATTAACGCGTCCACCAAACGACGCGTCTCCCACAAACTTCACTCCTCGTAACGATCCCACCATATTATTTCATATATATATATACCACGATCGCAATGCCTTCCTCTAAAGAATCCTCTGTCGACATAGAAGACTACGAGCTCCCTGACGCCCCCGAAACTTCATCTAATTTTCTTGAAGTTCCTCTGTCTAAAGTAGAGGCCACTTCTGAACCCGACATCCAGGGCCTCCACCTCAAAAGAGATGAAGAAGAAGACGACGATGACGAAAACTCACCCGCCAAACTCGAAGACATATTCACAGACGACGAAGAAGACTTCCTTGGCGACGCTGATGACGCTGACTTCCCCATCTCCGAGACCCCCGTGAAATCTGAACCTGAGTCCACCGCAGCAGAGTAAGCCCGCCTTTCTCCCCCGAGTCGGGGTCAAACTAATGATCCAACAGCACCCCCGTATTCAAGCCTACATTGCGCGCCTCCGACCCGGAGGTAATGATCGCGTTCTACCAGCGCCTCTTCCCTTTCCGTACGCTCTTCCAATGGCTCAACCACTCGCCAGTGCCCAACAATGACTTTGGACACCGCGAGTTCGCATTCACACTCCAAAATGATGTGTACCTACGTTATCAGGCATTTCCGACCGCTGACTCGTAAGTCTACTTCTTACCTCTTGTGGTACCCAAATACTAACCTTCTATAGGATGCGCAAAGAGGTCCTTCGCCAGAACCCTTCACGTTTCGAGATTGGCCCTGTATATAGCGCAAACCCGCGTGACCGCAAAGTATTGCGAAAATCGGCATTCCGCCCGCTTACGAAGGAGCTGGTGTTCGATATCGATCTGACGGATTATGATGAGGTGCGCACGTGCTGTGATAAAGCAAATATTTGCATCAAGTGCTGGCAGTTCATCACTGTTGCGATAAAGATCGTGGATGCCGCGCTGAGGGATGATCTTGGGTTTAAACACATCATGTGGGTCTATTCGGGTAGAAGAGGAGCGCACGCCTGGGTGTGTGACCGCAAAGCGAGGGAACTGGATGATATGAAGAGGAGGGCGGTAATATCTTATTTAGAGGTCATCAAGGGTGGTAATCAGGCGGGCAAGAAGGTCAATGTTTGGAGGCCGCTACACCCACATTTGGCGTAGGTTTACCTCTATCCCCTTTAGTAGTACTCCTGTGGGGCTAACATGGATTCTAGGCGGAGTCTGGGAATCCTACGAGATCCATTCAAGAAAGACATTCTTCGCAATCAAGATCCTTGGAGAGAAACCGAGCGCGCCGAGCACTTGCTCTCTCTCCTCCCTGATAAAGGCACGCCCTCTCCTCCCTCTATCCCTTCCGCCATCCTAAATAATAAACTAACTTACTAAACCAGAGCTCAACGACGCTCTCCGCAAAAAGTGGGACAGCCACGACAACCGCCCAAGCACTAGTAAATGGGAAGACATCGACACACTCGCCGGCGCCGGCGTATCATCAACCATTGACCCAAAGAAGCTTCTAGAGTCGAAACAGGACGTCATCCTCGAATATATGTATCCGAGATTGGATGTAGAGGTGTCCAAGCATTTAAACCATTTGCTTAAGAGCCCATTTTGCGTGCATCCAGGAACTGGTATGTATACTGATGCTATTGAGGCGGGTGGGTAAATGTGTGCTAATGAGTGTGCCCAGGTCGGGTGTGTGTACCCATCGATTCTTCGAGACCCGAGGAGTTTAACCCAGCCGATGTTCCAACAGTGTCACAACTGTTGGGCGAAATCGATTTGTGGAATAAAGAAAACCCCGGAGCTGGTGCTGTAGATGGGGAGAAGGTCGATGGTGTGTATTATTCATACCTACTTTCTTGTCTTCTGTTCTTCGCTAATCAGTGCGAGTAGATTGTGATAAAACCTCTTTAAAGCCATACGTAGACTTTTTCAAGAACTTTGTTGCGGGCCTACTAAGGGACGAAGGCGCAATCAAGAGAGAAAGAAATGAGGGCGCTGGGGATGCCATGGAGTTCTAGTAGGACAGTTTGGTTTGTAATAGAGCGGTCAGCGAGTGGGATACCATAGTGATTAATAGAGTATTTCAGCGGGCGAGCGTGACGTTTAGTTCCTTGTAAATCATCTCCAAAATGTCAAGGAACATCTCGAAATACTTCGTAAACGCTGGAGTGTCTCACCCCCTGTTTAGCAAAAGGAGGAAAGAGGCATACTCCTACACTAGGTGCCCTCGAGAAGCAGAACCTAGCTAAATCTATAAGCCATTTCCTCGTTAGAAGGCTTTGATCTAGGATAGGAGAATGCTTTCTTCCATCAAAACGAAGAGCTCTTCCTAGAATAGCCGGCTACATGTAATTTGTGGGGTATAGCGAAGAAATATCGGGTGCAGTATCGTCTCTCGAGAGCGTCGCTACTACACTGGGCATTCTCACCGCTGCCTCCGTCCAAGGCTGAATCAATGGTCTCATTGCATAGAACTGGCCGATAAGCATTGCCCACTCCATGTTGTCTACCATACTGCACTTTTGATAGATAGATGTGGGCAACCAACGAACTGCATCCATAG